CCGAGATTCTTGTTTCATGCTTAATTTATTTCGAAGCACCTCATCATTTTTAATTTGAATGAATATACGAGTAAGTAAACAAAAATTGTTTACCTATGTATCATATAGAAAGCACTATAAAAGAGAGTATAGGCTATAATATAATAATTTCAATAAAATTTTCTGTACGACATTTATACTACAATAATTAAAATTTAAATAATATTCTTTGTTACGATGTTGATACCTACATAGATCCGGTCGAGTGATTTAGAAGGCTCTGCTTCTGATATCTCTTCGATGTTATATGAGTTTGTGCACTTACGATATCGCTATTGTGATCGTTAAGAAAGAACAAGACAAAGAGGCTTACTACTTATTTGTAAATATTTCTGATAGTTTTATTTATAAGTATTCTCATTAAAACTATGAATATCATATTTATATACTCGTTAGTGCTACGTATAAATATTGTTGTACTATAATTTTTGAATAGAAATAAAGGGCCTTAAGCCCATTTAATTAAAATGTTTAACAAATATTTTTCTACACGTTTGTCCCATTTTAACATATTAGATCTTGTTTTATGTTATTATTTAAGTAAAAATAATATTTTTTTTCACAAATATATATTTACATTCAGCGCTGTTTATTGCTTACACAGAAGTTACGTATACATCATATATACATATAAATATATAGCGGGTAAACTTCGCTTCACTTGGGTTCGCCTTTAGATAAGCACAAACAGATCTGTCTCATGGGAGCCGTTCAGTTTTCTAGGACAAAAAGTAACCCGTTTTTTGATCGGCAACATAAAGTATCAGCATGCCTTTACTAAATTAGGTGCATATTAAAGTTGTTGTGTAATAAGCTGTATAAGTTACTATTGTTTTTTAACTATCCCAAGAACTCTTTCATTTTTCGGGATGAAAAGTATCTAAAATGTTGACCGAGGATATAAGGTATATACATATATATAACACCATGCAAAATTTCATTTAAATCAGAGTTTAATCAGTTTCGGAGATTAGCCCGTACAAAAATGGTTAAGATTTAACAAATTATGTTCGACGTGATTATTTAAATTTGCATAACTTTTTTATATATGAAGCGAAAGACTTGAAACGAACTCTAAATGTTAAGTGACAACCACATCTAAATCGGATAAGCACAAACAAACAGATAAACAGACAAACACACAAAAATTCATTGTTTTTGGTGCTATTTTCGTTAATAAAGGTCCCAATAATATTTTTTCTCATATATCTTCCATGTACAGACAGCGATCCCTTACATGTTTATTATATGTATAGATAGATGTACTATAGGAGATAAGAATATGACTAACACTTGTCACTCCACAGCCTTTTTAAGTCACTGTTTCATCACTAGATTTACAGGCACTATCTCTTTTCTTTGCTTGGAATACGAAGAAAGCAATAGTGAAGAGTTTAGCATATCTTACTAGTACTTTTAGACTTTAGACTTGGTTTACTAAAGTTGTACGCAGAATTATATTTTAGTTACAATGTATCTTAAATTACACGAAGAAGGCAAAGTTATTTCTAACAATGTTGTCTTAATTTGTTTATTTTATTAGAACGTGTGTGTTAAAATTTTCATTGTACTTTTATAGGCAGAAATATCTAATTTTGATACAAAATTCACTGATTTGTTGGGATATTATAAATTTCCTTTCCAAACGCCTCTCCTAATACCATAAAATACGACCGGAAATCGTATTTTCAACGCACGCACTATTACGTATGACAAAAATTGCGTCATGCAAAGTCACATGTATCAGTTCTTTAACTGTTTGTACAAATTGCCTGAAGCAGTCATCAAAACTGAACAATTTAAAATACATAAAGTTTGGAACAGAAATCAATTTGACTTAGCAAATTTTCTATACGCAACTTGCCAATGTTAGATTATACGTAATGGAATTTTAATGAAGTTTTGCACTGTCGTGAATACCATTAGGGATGTGCGATTTAATCGACATTTTAACTCTACCTTGTTCATAATAAGCTTTCTAAACTTCTATAATAAAATGTTTGAAAAGAACAATGTACTGTGTTCATACTTCCATACTAATATTATAAATGTGAAAGTGTGTTTGTTTGTTTGTTTTTCTTTCACGTCGAAACAGCTTGGCGGATTGGCGTGATTTTTTTGTGTGGAGATAGTTGGAGGGCTGGAGAGGGACATAGGCTACTTTTTACTGCGGGATATTATCTCTTTCACACAGGAAAACACGTTATAATATAATCCAAAAAAATATTTATGATCAGAATTACTTGAAACTTGGTATTAATACTCTTCAATCCAATTAATCAAGTACATATTTTAGCATTTTTCGAAATTCATCTTATAAAAGGGTAAAATCGCGGATGAAAGTTTGTATGAAACCTACCATTTTAGAGCTTTTTTTGTAGTTTTAGCGCAAGCGAAGCCGCGGGTTCTGCTAGTTATTTCATATGGCTAAAAATCGCATTCGAGTTTTACTTTACTTTCTAAAACCGACTGTTACGTAGCTATAAAAAAGTCGACATGACAAAAGTCAGTAGACTAAACATTTTTATAATATTGCCAATTATTATTTTGTAAATTACTTTTAATACAAGTTGCACAATGCTTACGATTTTAGAAGTGTGAGCTCTAACTAAAGTAAATCTAAACCATATCTAAAATTATAACTATTTGCTTAGATAAAAATCTATTATATTTTTGAAAACCTATCCGGAGATACTCTATAAGCTTTTGTGCGCTTTAATTGGCCATAGCATTATCCAGCGGGGTTATACGAGTCACTTACTTTTCTAATTTTAACGATATCGTTTCGATTGTCTCCAAGTAAAATCAATGAGACATACGGATAGATATACAAAAGGACATGACGAAATCATTAGGTTATTAGGAAATTAAAAGGTTTAATAATTTTATAAAAATAGCTAATTAGTAATTAAAAAAAATAGTTATATCGTTTATTAGTTTTCTGACCGTTTAATATTACGTTAATATGTCTGATGCAGAATTTACAGCTCATTTAGAATTATTCTTCAAATAAAGCGTTCTTCGTACGTTTCTCTATAATGAAATTAAATTAAGAAACTTTGAATATTACAAAGCTTTGAGTCAACAATAGATGCACACATAAAGCTGTATACTTTTCAAACCATCTCATATGATTTTATAATTAATATCTGAGTTTCTTTTACAAAGTACTTTTAAATAAGAAATCATGCTGTATATTATATTATGTATACTTACGTAGTACAAAATTGAATAGGATTGTCTAAATTGGAAAATCTCCAATTTGAGTAACAAACATAAATACATATAAACTTCGCATTTAGTAGTCCGACATAAACTATTATTGTAAATAGCCTGTGTTTGATCTAAACATATAATAAAATTCTTACTAAGTCGAATCTGTATACTAAATATTTTTTGAAATATCGTATTGAAACAGTCATCATTACCGATACAGAGGCTGAATCTGTAGTTTTTAGAATTTTTGTCTGTCTCTCTGTCTGTTTGGGATTACGAGAAAACCACTGGAAAAATTTTGCTAAAAACGATGAAATGATGACAGCTGGTTATCCGGGTCAACGTATAGGATAATTTTTACTTCGGAAATATATCTCTGAGAATCTATATTAACCGTCAAAACCTTCCAAGGGACGAACCCGAGCGGAGCGAGGGTGAGTCGCTAGTTTTAAATATAAATAAATAAGTATAAATATGTTGGGACATTAATACACAGTAAGTGCCATCTAGTTCTATGGTAAACTACGGGGCTTGTGTTATGGATACCAGATAGTTGATACACTACACATACATAACTTTAAATACATAGGTATTATAAATATAAAAGCCCATGCCTGGAGTACAAATATTCGTGCTCATCACACAAATGAATGCCCCCAGCGGGACTCAACCTGCGACCGCTGGCACAACAAGCATCGTTTTATTTTAAATGTTAAGTAACATTTTTTATTTCCGTTTATATTTGCTTTGATAAATTACTAATGTTAAATAAAAACTAAAATAAATAAATAAAGTAGCTTTTATTATACAGATTTTTGTAAAACAGTATATGTATATATTGCAAGAGTTAACTGTCCAAAAAAATATTTGAAAGTCTCTATAATGCGTGAAGCAACTTTTAACAAATGATTAATTTGAATTTTGTCATACGAGTACTGTTGCGTGTTGCTTTACGTGGGAGCAATTATGTGTAATGCGAGTCATTTTAGGGAAATATTTCATCATGGCAGGAATTCTAGTTCGACGCACTTAAATTAAAATTATCCTGCAAAAGGCACGCTTACTGCCACAAACTTCAGACAATTTGTTATAAGGCCAATGGAAAATTTATATATTCGTCCCTACGTTTCAATTATATAATCGTATATAATAAGGAATTATGTTATACAAAAAATAGAAAAATAAAATAAGGTTATTTTTTTTAAATATATACTAATATTATAAAGAGACAGATTTTGTTTGTTTGTTTGTTTGTTTGTTTGTTTGTTTGTTTGTTTGTTTGAATACGCTAATCTCAAGAACTACTAATCCGATTTGAAAAATTCTTTTCGCATTAGATAGCCCGTTTATTGAGGAAAGCAATAGGCTATATATAATCATGCTACTACCCAAGGGAGCGGTGCAGTAATCATAAATGTCAACAAATCGGGCAAATTTCCATACATTATTGTAAAACTGATATTTATATCGGAAGTTTAAACGTGGGCGAAGCCGCGAATGCTGCTAGTTATGAATAAACTAGAAACTATTAGGTATAATGGCATATTATGTACGTTTCAAATGTACTTAAGATATGTAGGGTTACAAAGGTTAGGCTTAGGTTCACACGCACACGTTGTTCTTAAGTATTCTACCTTTACCAGATTGTGACATTTAGTATTTTGTATATTGTGTATAAGAAAAACTTTACGATGCAAGATTCCGATATAGAATCTGGAAAATAATACATATTTTTTATTACGCAGGAGGAGAAAGACCAGCTGCTCACAACGAATTGCTGGATTACGCAAATATGGACAGATCATCATCTACGGTGGAATATCAGTGAGTTTGATGGCATCAGTGTAATAAGAATACCCTACGAGAGAGTTTGGAAGCCAGATATTATATTATATAACAAGTAAGCAATTTTAATATATTTTTTTCATTTAAATAAGTTTTATAATAGTTTTACGAAATCAAATTATTGGTGACTTATTATTGAAGAATATAAACATCAGGGAATTATGAAGTGTGAAAGATTGAGTATAGGTTTTTTGAAGTTCCCGTTCGTCTGATGAAAAACGGCACCTTTATAGGATAAGATGAACCAAGTGACTGTCCCATCTTTTTCGCCTAATTTAGGAGACAGTTCTAACATAAACATTTTCGAAGACATATACTCGTAGTCAGTTAAACCGATCACAAATGTGCAGTGTAAATAAACGAATTCTAATTTTAGGTTAATTATAAACCCACAAAATATTGGCAAAATATTCTGTGATTATTATTAATATAAAATATTTGCACAAATGTATTTAACCATTTTCTTAATGATTGCATAAAACATTTTCGTTTGCAATTTTTAATGCTTAAACTTAACATATTTAACACAATTTAACCTAAAGTTTATCGTAGGTATGTTTCATAAAGCCTACGTGAACTAATTGTGAATAGCACTTTTATCGAATAAAAGTTATTAAATAAATGTATATTTTCATATTTAGACCAAATGAAAACGTCATAAAGAGGCACTTTGGTGTTATAATTCATTAAATTTAAATCATGAACGAATTGTGGCTAATTTGTTCATGATTTAAATGACTCATGTTATTTTAGCGCGGATCCAAACTATCGCTCAGCGGTGATAAATACTAATGTTATAGTAAAAAATACAGGGGAGGTGACTTGGCTCAGTCACGGTATTTACGTATCGGTTTGCGATATCAATGTGGAACAATTTCCATTCGATATCCAGCTCTGTACTATGAAATGGGCTTCTTGGACTTATGATGGCTTTCAGGTAAGGAGTAATAAATATTTTTGTAGCTATGTGCAACCAAACAATATTGCTTTACAGAATAAATATATATAGCCGAATTGGTGATATTTTTTATATAATATAGGACACATGATTTTTAGTATATAAATAACTACCTTTTAATTATTATTTCTTCTATTAAGCATATGAAAATTTATTGAAGTAGGAACAATATCTTGTTCTAAGTACTTTGGCAAATTAAATTGACTAAATAAATATTGTAAGAAAAATGAGAAAATATTTTGTTAGAAAGTCGCAGCTTTATCACTTTTATTGATCATGATAGTTTATTCACTGAAAATAGACTGACGACGGCAGGTGATGTAAATGTAATTGTTAAGAAAATGTAAAAATTATGAATAATTCTATCTAATTATTTCAGAGATGAATCTGACTGGTTTAATTATATTAACAATATTATTATTATTATTATTATTTATTAAGTTTAATAATTTTAAGCTTTATGTAGGCATGTCGAAAAGCGAGAGCCTAATGCCCATAAAAAAGAACGGTACTTTGCTAAAATATTCATATTCTAATAATATTGGTATAATTTCTAATTATAAATAAACAAAATTATTGCGAAAATTGCTGCATGAAAAGTACAGGAGAGGTCATCTTTTCAGTATTCTATTTTTTCTAATGCTCATCATGTGTAACGTATTCATCACGAATGAACAATACAAAGTTCTCACTCGTCACGGTCTATGATTGAAAACGATTGCGTGAATACAACTAGTTTTAATTTATACTTATTTTCATATGCAGCAAATGTCAGCCATTTTAATGCAAATAAGTGTACTAACTACAAGCGAGTGAGTAATATTTACAACCTTACTACCAAAATATCACAGTAGCTGGGATTTTTAATTGGCAAATATAAAAAATTAAAAAGAATACCATTTACCTAATGAATATAATTCACAACAAAGTGGAAGAGATTATAAGAATAATATGACTGAAATGTCGATTAAAAGTTTGTAAGAATTCTGTTGGAAATTTTTAGCATCTGAGAGAGAAAAATTAAGTTCGCTGTCATTTAGGCAATAATGGAATGGAACTACTGTGGGTGAATTTTTCTGTAGCAAGATTATAAAATGGTAGTATCCTGCTTTTATGCGATAATATTTTTCTCTAGAACGATAATAATTTATGGTGACATTTTTAGCTGTGTTATATAAAAAACAAAGGCGAGACAGTTAAGAAAAATTGAATCATCTAAAATTAGCATAATTTACATTTTACGAGTATATATGTATATATGGTTGTAGAGGTTTTAGTGATTTCTTTTGTTCTAAATGTAATTGTTTAAAAAAAGAACACGTTTTAACTTTACGGTTTCGACTTATAGAGTTTCAAATCGATCAAAATCAATATTCAAGATTGGTTTACGTGAATACGTTACGACTTATTGAACAGTACATTTATGTTCTAAATTAAGAGTATAAAAAAAATATACTCTTTGTCCAAGAGGTAAATAATTCTTATAAGTTAAAGACCAAATTAGGAATCATATTTTACGTACAATCTCTTGACAGTGAGATTGCATGTAGCCATATAATCTACTTTATTTTTTACATCGAAGCTTGTAGGAAATAATGAACCGTATAACCGTTTTTAAAGACTTCGTTTTGTAAGTAATATAGTGTTAACTGCCTCGGTGGTGTAGTGGCTAGCATGTACGGCTGCACACTCGGAGGTCCTGGGTTCGAGTCCCGGGTCGGGCCAAGTTTAGTTATTGAGTCTTTCTATATAGTAAGTCTCTGTAACAGCCCGGAGTTGGGAAGTTGGTGGTGTTTCACCCCCGTGCCTCGGAGAGCCCGTAAAGCCGTCGGTCCTGCGCCTTAACTCTCACCGGTCGTGTCGAGTAGTCGTCCCACCGGAGTATGAGAGTAACAGGAATAGAGAGTGCACGTGTGTCTGCGCGTACACTTGTGCACTATAATATCTCCTGCGTAGTTGGCTAGTCTCAATGAGACTGGCCGCCGTAGCCGGAATCGGCCAGGAGAACATCATCATCATCATCATCAATATAGTGTATAATAAGTAGCTTGGTGATTAGGTTTATAAAACAACTAAATTTGTGATCTTGATTGATAAGGACTTATGAATTTTTTCACATAATTAATATATTACATACATATGTGATGTAAGTAATGTTATTACATAAAACTATAAATTATTGTATTAATATTAATATAGGCGTATGCTTGTACACACAAACTGTGTGTGGCATTCAACAGACAGTTTTCTTTAAATAGTCATACATAATACTACATATATTGTGCACATATACACATTATGTATTCATATGTGTAATTCGTGTGTGTATGGTCTTCTGATAATCGATAAAAAGGCAATTCTTACTAATTATTATTTACCTTATCTATATAAATAAAAATGAATGTTTCTTCATTCATTCGATTGTGATAAAACATTTTTCTGCTTACGCCCCCGAAGTTCAATGGCCAAAAAAAAAATCTTTTTTTTTTTTTTCGTATATTTGTCTTCTATTCGTTCCTAAGCCATTCATCCCTAGAGACGTACCCAAATGAAGCGAGAAAAAGCTGCTAGCAAGAAATAAATTAAGGTTTAATTACTTATATGTATTAATGTCTTAATTTAACATTTGCACACTTTTTATACTATTGATATAAATGAAGTCACATAACTTGATTTTATCTTTTCAAAATGATCTTTATAGTATCTAAAGTAAGGAGACCTTAGGGTGTAGGTAAATACCTACATGTTTGTATGTATGTATGTATGTATGTATGTATGTATGTATGTATGTATGTATGTATGTATGTATGTATGTATCTATGTATCTATGTATCTATGTATGTATGTATGTATGTACAATAACGTAATGTGACTATGTAACCGATACTGCGTGAAATGGCTTAAGCACTCATGTAAATGTATTATATAGATACACAATAATCTACAAAATTATACTTTTAAATTATTGAAAAGTCTACTGTTTTTTCTATTTGTAACATTTAAAATCTAAGTAATTATATACTAATAGACAGAATATTCTTTTGCTGGCATTAATGCACTAAATACTCGTACATATCTTTATGTACTGTACAAAATATATACTTACATTTACATGTAAAAAATACTTAATAAACAGTGTGGATATTTACATTATAAATTGGGTTGAAATATTCTTATTGTGTTGTTGTTTGTATTAGAATATGAAAACAACAACAATTTGTTATTTTTTTATTTTAAAAATTTTAAATTCTCAATCGCCTTAAGCGCTATCTTTGTAAGCCGATTTGTACTAGCGCTTCACTAGCAACTTTTATTTTCTTTTCAATAACATACTGAGAACTTATCGATCCTTTAGAAACATATTATTAACAAAATATTTACTTTACAATTTCATCTTATTTTTGATTCATTTATACTTTTATTATAACTTTATTATTATTAAAATTAAAATTTACTGAAACAGCCATAAAGCTCTCTTCATTCGGAAAATATTTATTTAAAATACTACGCACAAATATTTCAATGCTTTGAGAAAACTCACAGAAAACATCATAAGTACCAGATTTGACGCGAATTCAAATCATGGGACTGTTCATGTGTATAATTTAATTAAGAAGATTTTCATTTTAATTTAATCGAATTCAGATTAATACCGTTTGAGTTTGCATATTATTTTTAGAATAGTTTCTTATGTTTAAATGTTTCCATTTTTTTTTAAATTAATAAATACCACAAATAGGCCATACAATGATTTTTAAATATATATTTTGAGTGTTGACTTCTTGGATATAATAGACGAAGTCCCACATTGAAGGTAATTTAATTTAAAAAAACCGGTCAAGTGCGAGCCGGAGTCACACATGAAGGGTTCCGTAATATCGTAAAAAATATAACACTATGTACTAATAGATTTTTTTAATTAGCATGGCGGCCATTTTGAAATTCACCATCTTGGTTGTTTTATTATTTGTTAATATAGCAGCAATAGAAATACACCCTTTGAAAATTTCTACTTTCTAACTATTACGGTTCATGAGACACAGCCCCGTGACAGACAGATGGACGAACAACGGAGACTTAGTAATAGAGCCCCTTGGCAACCTAAAAAGAACTTATTATACAACTACATTTGTTATCTTATTAAAATACATTAACTTGTACTGCATAAATTATTTTTGAACAATATGTACATCGATTTGTGTTACATAAATTATTCATGACTTAAAATAAACCAAAAGAAAATTAATGTAACTTCCTACTAACAATTGTTAAGTATTTCATTAATTAATTATTATTTAAAAATATTGATTTGGGACATTAATATAATGATTTGTGTTACTATAATTAATTATTTATTAGTTTTGAATTAAAAGAAGACAAAAGAAAATAAAATATGTATTCGTTTTAAGTTTGCTGTTAATTTGTGTTGTATTCATTAATTATGAAAAATACATGGATTCTAGATGTAAATAGTTATATTGATATTATAATTTTAATTTTTATGGTTTTTAACAGTTGGATTTAAAGAAACAGTTCGATGAAGGTGACACCACGAACTATCAAACTAATGGTGAATTCGACCTCGTCAGCTTTGAAGCGATTAGACATAATCAGTACTACTCCTGCTGCGTGGAACCTTATCCTGATATAACATATATAATAAAACTCAGACGACGACCCATGTTCTACGTATTTAACCTGATTCTACCTTGCCTACTTATAAATGGAATTGGTAAGTGCTTACTAAAATTTATATACGGAAAATATTGATACTTAAAGAATAATATTTTAACGTTTCTTATATTATGACCTCTCTTATTATGAAATTATAGAATTATCGTAGGTATTGTGCTCTTGATACTTGTAGTTCAATACTTTTTCGATAGAGCTATCTATCATTTTAGCTCTGACTCGCGGGGAATTTTTAATATAAGCTGTTACCGTTAGAAAATATATGTACTCGTACATTTAAAAATTGACAATTTAATAACTAGCGTGCTGCGTTTTTTTTTTGTTTATAAGCGGTCTTTGATTTTGTTTAATAATTTCTATACTAAAATATTCCTATATGAATTTACATGTTTACGTAGTATCTAAAACTTCCTTAGGTATATTATACAGTAGATATGGGTGTGGCTAATACATACAGAAAAATAAACATGAAAAGATTTTTTCCCGTGACCATGATTATTGTAAAGCATTCGAAACGTCGCGTCGCGTCGTGAACTAATTATCAAAATAAAAAAAAATCCATAAAGATAGTTCTATTTAAAATGTCAAATATTCGCGTAAATCTAAGAAGGTATTAAACATAAGAATAGAAAGAGAAACTATGACATAACGGTTTGATATGGAATGCTATTACTGGCAGAATGGATTGCGTCTGTTAACGCAACTATAAGCCATTGTAGAAAAAAAAAGAATGCTATAGCATTGGAAAATGAAAATCTCAAAATATTTTTTTTAAACATAGAAAAGTAAAAATAAACTAGCTGACACAATATATTACAGTGTATATTAGAACTGGACAGGGTGATGAAGTAGTATAGGACATGTGGACGGTCGCACGGAAAGTACAAATGGCATTTAAAATTACTTAAAATAAAAGATAACGTACCTAATATGTTTCATTCATGTGGATAAAATAGAAAATCTCTGTTAACTAATATATCAATTTTTCCGTCTAATATTCGCATTACTCTATATATATATTTGTGTTAATGTAATTATTTGGTAACCTTACAGCTTTACAAAGAAAAAAGAAATATAGTTTAAGCACAAAGTTATTAGTAAGAACAACATAGTATTTTGATACTACTGTATATCGAATCTAATCGAATTAAACGAACAACAGAGTACATTAAAAAAAAAACAAAAAAAAACATGTATATAATAAAACTAAATTTGTAAATTTTAATTAATTATACGTTTTAGTTACCTAGCAGACAATTTTATTTATTTATAATATTATCTTTATTTTCTTTCTGACTTAATTCACTGTTCACAAATATTATCATTACACTGGTAGCTTACTGTTGCGAAATTTTCACAAATTATAGTCTATAACCTTTCTATATAACTCCTTTTCCCACTGATCTTAATTGGTTCAAATGGCTTTATGTAAAATACGTACAGTAATATCTAATTTTAGCCAGACAATACAAAAGCTCGACATGCCGGGGGACATTCACGTATAATAAATACTTATAAAGTATTTTAAATGTTATTATACCCCTACATATACATACATATATTATATAATAAGAATCTTTGTTACGCAAACATGAATTACTATAACAAATCAAGTGTTTGCTTTTTTATTGTACATATTGGTGCTGGTAAATAAATATTTTGTAAATAATTAATACCTATATAAAAGGCAGTTAAACATATTATGAATAGTCTTATGTGAGATTATAGAGGCTGATTTTAATTAGCTATGGTAATCCGCAGTTCCATCCGTGTATATGTAATGTTTTAAATAAATGAACAAAATGAACTAAAATATCTTTGTTATAAAATATCTCACTGAATTTAGCAAGTATAAATATTTGTTATGTTGCCGATTGAATAGCATCTAATAAGGCAAATCGGCTTAAAATTGAATTCATTTCTCTTTCAATGAATCCATTTCTCCGTGATATTTCCAACGATTTACTGCAGATGAAATTGTAGAGGCTGCTTTTAATTACAGTCAGGAATGTCTTTACTAATTTTATAAATTAACAGAATGATTTTAAGATTTAACAGAGTTTAATAATGTAGGTTTTATTACTATTATTTTATTTGTAAAATATAAAATATTAGTAGAACCCGCGGCTTCGCTCGCGCTAAACTACAAAAAAAAACTCTAAAAAGTTTGGGTTCATATTAACTTTCATTTTCTATTTTATACGATGAATTGCGAAAAATGCTAAAACACGTACCCGTGGGAATGAGATAATCTCCCGAGGCAAAAAGTAGCCTATGTCACTCTCCAGCCCTCCAACTATCTTCACATAAAAAAACACGCGAATCCGTCACTCCATTTCGACGTGAAAGAAGGACAAACAAACAAACAAATAAACAAACAAACACACTTTCACATTTATAATATTAGTATTGATTCATAGTAGGTATTACTCTAAAGAATTTATCCTCGCATAAAGTAAATAACGAATCTTTTTTGATATGTAAATAGAATAAAATACATTCCAAAAAAGATTCAAACGAACTGTAATTTATGTATGACCAAAATATAGCGTGTAAAATAATAAATCTTTTTGCAGCACTCCTGGTATTTTATGTGCCGTCTGAGTCCGGTGAGAAAGTCACTTTAGGAATAAGTGCTTTGCTTTCTATGACGGTATTCCTTATGACTATTCGAGATACACTGCCGCCTACTGAAAAGACGCCGCTTATTAGTAAGTTTACTACTATTAACATATTATATAAATCTATTAAAATATCTAAAACAAAGAAATATTTTAATAATGTATGTTTACATAAAATATAATATCTCAATATTTCAAATTCTTAGGAGTCAAAAAATTACTCATTTTTTATGTAAACGTTTATTCCTTAATTTACATAGGAAAAATTGGAAATCTTTTATATTTTTTCAGGTCTCTACTACGGGGTTAGTACGTGTTTAGTTTCGTTCTCGGCGTCTCTATCGGTGGTAACTCTCAATATATCATACAGGCAAGTTTAAGAATGTAGCGTCTTAATAATTCTTTAGAACCCATTGTTTTCTTTGTTTTATATTAAAATAATAAAATGGAATTTCCGATTTCTAAGTAGCTTAGTAACTTTACTTAACTGCTTACGACTTTTCGAGTGACAAGCTTCTGTTAATATCAAATGGATTCGTTGAAGAATTACATATAACTATGACTATGTAGAAATATATTTTCCCTTTATCCTAAGCATTAAAAGCTTACGCAATTTAAATATTATGTTTATTCTAAACAACTTCTATTTAGCTGTCATAAATATCAATATTTTATTTCTATTAAAATAGTACTATTATATTTTTTTTAACTTTAATTTTTTGATCCCTTACTCCTAATAACATCAGCTATCGGCCAGTGAAAAACATGTCAAAATCAGTCCAGCCGTTTCGTAGACTAGCCGGAACAAACACACAGACAGACAAAAATTTTAAAAATTGTGTTTTTCTTATAAGTACCGTATATAATTTCACATGCATTTAGTGTACAGACACTTCAACTTTATTTATCTGTATAGATATGCTTATTGTTATTTCGTAATAGTATTGCATACTGAAAGCAAATATATATGGACATTAATATCGCATGATTAAATATATAAAGTTAATGAAACGTACAAGCTTTGACAGAGTTTTGGCCTGTTAAATATATATATATATAATTCTTGTGAATAATCTCTCATCCATTTTCCTACTATCCGATTGAAGTCACGATTGTTTGTTCGATAATTATATCATTTAACAGACAGGGCTAATTTAATCATAGATTTGGCAGGTGGATGAAATTTCTTAGCCGTTTGCCAAGTTTTGGTTCATTTTGTACTTACATAGCTGTTATATACTAAATTGAATAGAAATTATTTGACAATCTTATTTAAGTTAATTTAGTGACAAAGTATTATTACAATCTTTTTTTTTGTAAAACAACATAATATTATTGTTCATAGTTGCTTGAATCAATGCAATGTTACGTTTAATGTTTTTGATTGTTATCTGTACTGTGTGACATCTGTAGATATTTAAATAAATTAAAATTTATAATTCATACGAGAATGTACAACTTAAAAAATATATTTAAATTCAAACAAAGCTATATAACGTTTCTGTTGGTCGTCTAAAGTGTTTTTTGTAAGCTATGAATTCTGAATGCAATAAAAGAATGAATGTCTAATATTATTACAAATCATTAAATTATAATTAAAGGAAACTCACTTAAGTGTACTTACCAACTAAGGATAAGAATTTTTGTCTTTTACACATTTTTAACGAGTGTATAGACTGTTGAATATTGTTCGTAGAGGAGTGAGAGGGCAGCCGGTGCCGCCCCTAGTGCGCGAGCTCGTGCTTCAACGCCTCGCAAAACTGCTCTTCATTAACTTCGATACAGACACACAGAAGGTATATATGAATTTTAATTATTAAGCTTAAGCTTTGTATTGTTTTATAAGTGCCTCGTCACTTAAACTGGAGGTCATGATTATCAGTTCTGCGCCTGATCTTTCGTCACTAACATAAATATTACATACTTTCAAATCATGAGTGTATTACTGTGCTAGCACAGGTTTACTCTCAGCAGGTGTAGGTTACATCTTTCTTGTAGAATTTCAATGGGATTCATAACCATAATAAAAAAATATGGCGTTGCCTTTTTTATTGATTGCTTATGAACTATTAAACAGCGTAGATAGTTGTTACAGCAGTACTATTAGTTACTAAATAAGATTTAGTTAGAGAAGTCGAAATTCATGAATATTTACTATAACATTTAATACCTCATATAATGAGACTTTACACTATTAGTGTTTCAAAGCTTTCATTTATGTTATGTATATTAATTTCAATTGAAAATTTCTCACGCACATATTTCTAAGTACATGAGGTGAGCACACATGATTACTCAATCAGTTGTTCAGGTGTGTGTTAATGTTTGTATAACAACAAAACAAATTGTTTATAGGTGTATGTGAATTTCTAAAGTGTAAATTTTTATTTTCCTAAGCAAAATTTTTGATATTTTGAGAAATATTAATGTAAAGAACATAGATTTTTTTTATATTTCTTTATGTATTATATTTTTATGTGCTTTTTAATCAATAATTTAAATATTATATATATACTAGCGACTCACCCTCGCTCCGCTCGGGTTCATCCCTGGGGTGGAGTCTGGAAGGACCACCCTTATCCTTATCACTTAGGGGTATGGAAAATAGATAGTAGCCGATTCTCAGACCTACTGAATACGCATATAAAATTTGGTAAAAATCGGTAAAGCCGTTTCGGAGGAGTACGGTAACAAACATTGTGACATGGATATTTTATATATAAGATATATATATATATATATATATATATATATATATATATATATATATAATTTACATAAATTAGTTAACTAGAGCAGCAGTTATATATACAATGTATGTAATTGCCAAAGAAAGCTTAGACGGCTTTGATAATATTATGTTGATGAAAGACATTATTAATATTAAACATATATTTTTTGTTTATAAATATACAAAAGTAAAAATTTTAGTCACGAAATATATTTGGTCACGTACTTACACAGAGTAAAAGGTGCCAATAGTCCATTCAATTTGTTTCATTGAGCACTTAGTGACCTTATTCTAATCACTTTTTACGAGTATTCTAAAGAAGTCAGCTGTTTACGTGTCTTATGTAAAGGATAGACGCTGGACATAAGACGCTAAAGGGGAAAATGTGGTTTGAATCGGCAATAAACTTTGCTAAAATTATAATATAATTTAATTAATATACATATTTTATCATGATATTAGTTGCTTGAGATATTTTACCAAGCTTTTTGTACCTTAATATTAGGTACATTTTATTTACGCAATTGACGCTAAGTTTAGTATCACGTGCAGAGATTAACGTGACGAGATATAGGTTGCCATATTGACATATAGGTTGCCTGTAAATCGCTACGCTTGGCGACACAAGTTATAAGCCGAATTCCGAAGCGAATCGATCAATAAGGTTTTGGTCGTCTTTGGGGAATGTAAAATTTGTATTAGAGGTCACAAGGGACTTAATTTTCGATCTAAGTTTCGATGTTTCGCTACCCGAAAATTTGTCCAAGCAATATCCTCATAATTACAAGAAAGTGTTTCGATAAAATACTTACATATGCATGCATACATATGCAAACTGTTATAAAGTTTCTACTATGTTTCTTATTAAAAGAACTTTACTGTTATTGAAACTGTTAAACATAGTCATCACGATAATTATTATTGAAAATTGACATAATTTAATAACTTCAACCAGGTATTTGACGAACAGAATTTAAAATATGGAAATGAGCTATCCAACTTTGATTCGACGTTCGAAAAATTATATATTCTCCTGTAAACTTTTTGATATTGATTGGGTAACCTTAAACGTTCTAAAGTTCGTAATATATATTATCTAAGTTAGATAAGAAATTGCGCAGAGAATACGATTTTAGAAAATTGTATAAGAAGTTTAAGCTTTTTTAGTGATTTTCATTTTTTTTTTATTTATGTTAACCTCAATCTTTGATCAAAAAAAAATATATTATTTTTTTTAATTTAACTATATTATGCATAACTTATAATAATGTCCTTTTGATTGATTCCGGTCACGGCGGCCAATCTCACTTAGACTAGCCAATTGCACAGGAGATATTATAGAGCACAAGTGTACGCGTAGGCACAATTATTGAACTCTCTATTCCTTTTACTTTCAAAACCCGATGGGCTGATATTTCGAAACGACCGGTAAGAGGCGCAACATCGCTAACTTCCCAACCCGTGCTACTACGGAGAATATCTTAACAGAAAAAAACAGTTATTAAACTTGGCCCGACTTGGGACTCGAACTCAGGACCTCCAGATCAACCGAAGGAGCTGCCGTACATACTAGCAACTAGACCATCGAGGCAGTTTATTACTTAACTAATGCACAAAGCAAGCATGGAAAAAATTAGATAAACATGAAAATTTCTTCATCACATACTTTATTCATAAACAAAATATTTAAGAAAACTCCAATTTTAGTTTTAAAATATGTAGATAAATAAATACCTTATTTAATATCTCTGAAGTCTCTTAATTTCTGTAAAGTCTTTAAAAAGGTTTGTTCTAAAAGAAAATTCAATATTGGCAACCTATTACGTTCTTGTTAAGTATTGGATGCAATGAAACGTGGATTAAACTGAAAAAAATACTTGTAAATATCACGGGCATCGATGCGGTTAGGTAAAGCATCGCAAAGACTTATGCCTAAAAAAGTTTTAGCACTGAAATGTAAACTTGGGGAACAGTAATGAAAAGTATTTCTAGATTCATGTTCTTGCTTCTAATAAACTTGGGTTGAGAACTTCGGAACGTATCTAAACGTGAGGCTTATTTTTACAATTAATGAAATAAAATATAGAAAAGTAATAGTGTAAAATTTTTTATTTATTTTTTATTTTTGTATATTATAACAGTATATTTAAGGATATTTATGCTTAAAGTATTGGTTAAGTGTCTTAAGATCTAAAGTAATGTGATCCTTCAGTTATCTATTTACCGAATAAAAAGTGCTTTGTTTTGAATATAATACTTATATCTATGTGTATCTTTGCATATAATAAAAGTGTAACTGATCGCTGTCTGTATATGGAAGATATTTGAGAAAAACTGTTATTAGGGTCATTATTAACGCGATAGAACCCAGAATAATGATTTATAGATTTTTTGTGTTTGTCTGTGCGTTGTTTCGCTAATCTCAGAAACTGCTTAACCAATTTGGGTGCGGTTTTCACCTATATATTGTGGTAAGCTTTACTTAACATTTAGTTTGTTTTATTTCAATCGGTTCAAAAATAAAAAAGTTATGTCAATTTAAAGAAACATCTATTAATATATTATTGCAGATGCGTTGCCTAATTATATACTTTTTTTATCTATAATATTATTATTTTAGAAAAATAACAATGAGCCTGCGGCTGTGCCCACGTATATTGTATATATTTCTATCTAGTCTGCATGTACTAAACATATTTATCGGTGACCAATTATTATGAAATCTTAAAAGTGATATTAAAATGTGCCCCGTAAATTTTTCATGATTAAACAACATGATTTTTTTTGAAAAGTAGTCATGGTATATATATGTACCTCTTCGCCTCCCTACTCTTATAAGAACAAAAAAAAGTAATGTAGACTTGAGTTTTTTACATTTTTTAATCTGTGCATAATAATTTTAATAAATAAAAGTTGTTTTTTTTTTATTATAAAGAATTATATTAGATATTTATGCCAGGCCGATACAAGCACCGTGCCAGTAAGCGTGGGTGTTCAAGTAAACCCTAGGACGGGTTCAAGGCTAAAGGCAGAAGTGCAATGCGATGGACCCGCTTCTCCTGCCTCGCCGCGTTTTGCACGTCCCAATCATAACCACCTCAGTAAGTATTTTCCTTTTATCTGTTGACATTAAAACATGAATGTGTGTGTTCCCCCCTATCTCTAGGCATGGGTTTGATTTCTACTTAAAATAACTACTCGTATTAAACATAGTACCTGGGTCACCGAGCTCGGAGTTTTTGGTTAATAAGTACAATTTTCTTTAAAAAAAACTTGAATACATACAAAAAAAAATAAACCTTTGTATCCGACCGAGATTTGAACCTGGACACCTGGGATTCTTGAAAATTCGAAAACACGTGTTTTCCCAGACATAAGACTATCTAGGTCGATTTATGGCCCCCGAAACCCGCTGTATACTAAATTTCATGAAATACCGTTAGAGCCGTTTCCGAGATTCAGATTATATATATATATATATATATATATATATATATATATATATATATATATATATATATATATATATATATATGTATATACAAGAATTGCTCGTTTAAATTAGGTAAATTAAAAAGGTATTAATGAAGTCTACGGTGTTAATTGAATATACTCGTATATAAAAAAATATTTTAGACTAAGTGATGATTAGATGAGCTACAAAATATTTATATAGCTTTCGTTAACTCAAATAAATTGTTTAACCATTACAAGTACTTTATTCGGATCAATTCCCCTTTTATAATACCCCTGGAGCACACTTTGTTTTGAGGATACTTTAACAACAAACATTTTTAATAAATTCTGTAAAAGCTAGTGGTAGCTCATTAACTATTATTAAAAATTGGTACCTACGTGATATGTCTATCATGTTTTGAAGACATTTAAAGCCATAACCTGCGAAGACATCAGGTAACAAATCAAGAGAGTACTTAAGAGGTAATTTTATTTTTAGCGACTATTATTAACGAAAAAAACACACTTCTGTAGATTACGCCGACGAAGTCGCGTCTATATCCAAGCTTAGGTTGGTAAAATCTTCGAACAATATCTAATTTTAACAGTTTGTCAGACACGCAGGCCTTTATAATAACTTAATATAATAACGATGTTTCTAAACTTCTCAGGATCCCCTTGTCTGCCGAATTTGTATTCGAAGCTTTATTTATTCTCCTACATAATAATATAAACATACTTTACCTTTCATGATAAACGTACCTGCTTATTGCTTAATAAAATATTAGTATTTTGTATTAATTTAATAAATACACTACCCGCCCTCGCTAAGCTCATGCCCTAACTATCCCCGCGTCCCCTCAGAAACTTTTTACAATATACTCTACGATACATATAAAATACAACTTGCAGTATCTGGATAACCTATGTCATTCCCTTAATTAGAGTTAGAGAGAAGAATTAAAAGTATGTTCTATTAAATTCACACACACACACACACATACACACACACACACACATATATATGTATATATATATATATATATATACATATATATATATATATATATATATATATATATATATATATATATATATATATACTACAATATGGTAAACTACATAAAAACATATAATGTGTCAACATTTAATGTTATTCGTTGACAATTTAGCTTGATATGGTAAACCAATCTAGTGAATGGTATATTAATTAGATCGGGGTACGCAAAGTGTGGCAGGCAGCTTGGGGGGTGCGGTGGGAGAAACGGTCGCTGTGTGCTCGAATGCATGCGCGCGATGTACGTGCTGTGGGTGCACACTGCGCGACGCCGCGGCCCGACACGAGCTGCGAGTAGCGGCTAGCGAGCGCCTCGACCGAGCTAACTTGGAATGGAAACAGGTAGTGCATTTCTAATCATAATATTTAGGTTTCTTTCTTTTGGTATAGTGATAGATAGCATAATTTTATTTCTGATCTAATTAAAAATCCAAAATAATCACATAAATAAGAAGAATTATATTTCAAGTAAAATAATGACTAAATTTTTTGAGCTTTTTTTAATATTTTATTTTTTTCATAAAACATTATTTTTTTATAAGTGACTATGCGTATATGTTAAGCTAAATTTAAAATTTCTAAGAAAATATATTAATAAGATATCACACTTTAGATTCCTTATCTATTTCTTATAAATCTTTATATATATAATTCTTCTGTGAGTGTGTATGTCACTGAACTTCTCTCAAACGACTGGACCGATTTTGATGATTTTTTTTTGTGTGTGTTCAAGGGGATCTGGGAATGGTTTAGATTCACAATTTGAATAATAATTTTCATCAAAAAAATTATTAAAAAAAGTTTGAAATTTTCAAATTAAAGACGTGTAGACAGGACAACGTCTGTCGGGTCCGCTAGTAATCTATAAAAGTAGAGACGTAAATCACGGATTGTGGCTTCGTGACCATTCATAGAGAAAGTAACGCACCATTAAATTAGAGATATAATATTTTTATTGTTTTTATACGGTTTTGCACATATATCTTAAAACAAATTTATGTTTAGCTATTCGAAATATTAATATTTTTCATTTATTTTACAAACACCTTTCTAATATTAACTTTGTCGACATATGTATGTAAATGTCTTGCTCAATAAGATGATAAAAAAATAAAGGAATCAAAATAATTAAAAAAAAAACAAAAAAATAAAGTATTTATTTAATTGATTCGAAAAAAAAATGTATACGTAGTATTTATAAGAATGCTTGACACTCGCGTGTCAAATGTTCGAGGTTTCCAGAATTAACTGTCAAGCAAAGTAATAATAAAGCTTTTATTTTTATTGCATAGATGCTTTTGAAAAAAAGTCCTTTTCAAAACACCCATTTGATCTGTCAGTTATTACTCAAAATTTACATAAAGGCTAAATTAAGGTGAAGTACAGATAAATGATAATATAAATCGTTGAATTAAATATTTTTTCACAGTCATTTGATCAAGATTCAATCTAGATACTTTAATTTTAACTACGAGTTTCTACAGCTTTAAATCGTAGAGGCGTAGCGAGGTTGTAGACATGACGTGTGTTGATTCACATAGGAAAGCTTTTGCTTTCTTTTATTATTTTATTTTATATTATTTTTATTTTATATTATTGACTATGAGCTAGCTCAGATAATTAAATTAATTTTTGATGTAGCTAACTTATTGTTAATTAAGATTTAGTCAATATTGTTCTTAAAATATAGGTGGCCGTCGTAGCAGACCGAGCTCTACTTGCTGTGTTTGTTTTGGTCACCACCATAGCCACAGCAGCTATACTTCTTCCGCAACTGAACAATCTTCATGTCGGAAACACCCAACAACCGCCCTTAAAACCACCAACTTAGAGTTCTTTTTAATTAAGCAAATTTGGAGTCTGATTTCAAGGCCAACGAAATACCTATTTCAGTTGCTAGTTTTAAAGAGAGCTTAAAGACGAGTCGAGATTAGAAAGCTACGTTTTTTCTTTAACAAAGCAAGTTGTTTATTATCGTTTTAAACTATATGAGGGACAGTCTATTTACATCCCAAAAATTTCTTATTGTAATATCCCTAAACTCGCCTTTACGTTAATATAATTTTGCCTTGCATTTAAGAACTTAAGAACAGTTGGTTTTTATGTCATAAGTATTTATTTGATAAATTTACTATTGTAAATGCCAAAGAATATGTGCCAATTTTTTACAATATATAAAATAAGAGTTCAATAAAAACCTTATAATGGCAATATATTAAAAATTTCTAGACGTTATTTTAGTAAACACTATAAAAATGTAAGTAATAGCCATTTGTTGTACAAAATTACTCAAATATCATATAGTCGATAATAGTTGAGTTTTTCTTTTAATTCAGAAATTTGCTTTAAAAAGTGCCATTGACTGTAGGTTAGTGTAAATTTCGTTTGGTACTTTCCGGTGAACAGTACAAGGTGCAAATTTTGTGGTAGAAATGTTAAATCTAAGTGTAAATGTCAATTCAAAAAGTCATAATTCGATGTTAAATGTTATTTTAAAACTAATAAATACTGTAGTTTTGAACATGTTAATATGTTACAGGAAAAAAAAATTCTGCACAAAATAGATACTCGTATTTGATCTAATTTTGAAATGCGTGGCAAATATATATGTACATATATTTGTTATAGTTTTATAATTAATTTTTTGTAACACAATTTCTCACTTCAAGTTGGCTGGAAGAGATTTCTTCTAGAACTTAGGCCACCTTTATCCGCATTGACCTTACTATTGTTTTATGACAATTTTAATGTTCAGTAAAGTATTTATATATAAATCTACAAACACATTGTGAAATGCGTTTTCAGAATTAGATTCAATATGACATATTTTAATAAATCGATAACGATTAAGTTACTTTTTACAAGCAGTTAATATAATAGTTATAATAAAATTAATGTATTTAATGCTCAAAGTTGTTGCCAAATGTTAAAATACTTGTAAATACAAAAAAAAAAATTCTTGATGGTATCCTTAACACACATGTCAATATGTTGTATAAAGTAACAATAAAGATGTGCTAAGGAATAATTTCATTGTTTGACTATATCATCTTTATTTATATGAAATTATTATATTATAAACGACGGCTATTATATACAGATATAAACACTCGTCACATATACTAATAATATTATTTATATTATAAATGCGAAATTTTGTGAGTATGTATGGATGTTTGTTACTCTTTTACGCCAGAACAACTGACCGGATCTGGATGAAATTTGGCATCGAGATAGATTATAGTCTTGAATAATACAAAGGCTACTTTTTATCCCGGAAAAATGTACGGTTCCCGTGGGATAGGTTAGCTTTTATTTTCCTAGAGGTGAACCCAAGCGAAGCGAGGGTGAGCGGCTAGTCTATATAAATAAAAATGAATATTGGTAAGCGCATAACTCTAGAATGGCTGGACCAAATCAGCTAATTTTTTTGGTATGTTCCTTAAGGTCCACGGAAGGTTTTAATAAAGAAAAAAAATGAAAAATTAACGAAAAAAATATTAAAATTTATATGGCTAACGCTGGCCAATAACTGTTTATATTTATTTAGAACGTACCTAGCGACGAACCCGAGCCAAACGATGGTGAGCCGCTAGTACTAATAATAATTAATTACTTATTCACTGCACTTTACTTATAGTTCACTGATACTTATTTTATACACCTTAATTTCACTTGCACAGGAATTGACGTTCTTTGCAAAAAGCTGTACTTAAAAGAAGCTTAATCTCAGTGGGAAATGACAGCTTTATTTACATGGCACTATCATCTATGACATTGTACTTTTTCTAATATTAACAACAAAATTGTCGCATTGTACTTTTTCGGTTCTCTCCATTGATATATAAAAACATAGATGCACAGTTTAATGCCTAACAAATATCTCATCAAAGAGTAGCGTCGTAAGTGATGTTAAGTCAAACTAAAGAATAATACACAAAAATTGTAAGTTCTGATTGTGTTAAAACAAATTTGAACTTACGCGTATGAAAACAATGTACGTTATGTCACGTTTTTAAACTTTACCATATCAAATATATCAAATATACGATATTCCAACCATTTTTGAGGTTATATAATTATTGCGCCAACTCTAAAAATAATGTTTAAATTTACTATCTAAACATAAGGGGATCTTTTATTGCTTTAATAAAAAACTAGCATTGCCCGCGGCTTCGCCCGCGTTGAGATGACTAAAAATCAATTTCTTAGGTTTTACATATTAATATACTCTTACATTGCAGTTTTTGTATTTTTTCTCAGAAATGAGACATTGTCCCGTGGTAAAAAGTATCCTATATGTTGACCCCGATAACCAGCTATCACCATACCAAATTTCATCAAAATCTGTCATGTGGTTTTCTCGTGATGCGGTAACAGACGGACAGACAGACAGACAAAAATTCTAAAACTATAGATTCGGACTCTGAATCGATAATAATGTTTATTTCAATTAGATTTTCCAAAAAATATTGAATGTACAGATTCGACCTAGTTACAATTTAATTATATGTATAGAAAATCCGACTGCGTAAAAAACGCGAACTAAAAAGATGGTAACAAGTTGATATCAATTAACACTTAGCAAGACTCGAAGATAGGATAAAACGTGTACATGTCTCTGACTGCATATCACTATAACATAATATTATGCAGTCGGAAAGGAACATCTTTATCAACTTATTTCCATCTTTTTGGTTCATTTTTAACGCAGTCGGTTTTTTTAATAATATATATTATTTAAAGTTTTTTTTTGTTTTTAGGAACCTTTAAACATATTTTCTATTTTTGTGATCCCCTCTTTTATGCCTCACACGATCGATAGGCTTGGAAGAAAAAAAAAATTAAAGATCCTAATTGGCGCCTGAGATCTGCTATTTTAATTTTTAACATTAACTTATATCACTATATATAACTTATAACACTTGCGTTGTCAAGACGAATTTAACGACGTACAAATCATTCAAGTTAAACCGTTTAGTAATTACATATGTATTTACATGCAGGCCCAATACATAACCCTCCTTTGGGCTTCGCCACAGTCGGGTAAATGTCAGATAGCGAAATTATGCATATAAAAATACCCTTGGATGTAGAACTTCCTTGTTTTTTGAAGGTTTATCTTAAGCTTTTATTTTAGCATTTTATACGGTGTTATAAATTTTGTGTTTTAAAAATATTTAAATGAGAGATAAGGGTCTTAAACATACTGCAACAACACTGAAACTAAAATGTATGTGGAAAAGAAGGTAAAAGTAAATTTGAAACACACGATAAGTATTTTATAGATTTATTGTGTTATTACTCAACGTGAAGTCAAAACATGATAACTCTTCATGATAAAACTTCTCACACTTTACAAAATAATACTGCTTTGAGGATGAATAGAAATTAATGGGGGTTTTATTACCGCGATAATTAATTACGTGATAAACCTAAAGAATTTTCGGAGGTTTTTTGTTAAATTAAACACAAACATAATAAAAAATATATATTACAAAAAACTTGATTGAGTAAAAAATTAACAAAAAAGACGGAAACTAGATGACGTAGAACGTAGATGATGTAAATAAATTATATGCACATGTTTTATTCTTACATGCCTGCAAAGTGGTTAAATACATAACCCTCTTTTTAGGCATAGCCGCAGTTGGGTAAGAATAACGGCGGATTTGACTTTAACTAATAATACTTACAGATCTGCTTCTGAGATATCTAATTTTTCGAATTAAACAGTATTATTATTTAAAAAAAAAATTGATTACTTCAAGGTTTTATTATTAGACCACTGGCTTATACTAGTGGTTTAATACAAAGAGCACTCACCGTATACCGTACAATACCGTAGAATACTCGAAATATCAAAATGATGAAAAAGCAGCCTGTAATAAATTAAAAGTTTAGAGCAGTTTTATTTCCTGACAATTTTCGTTCTTTGTGTTGGTTATATTTGAAGTCCATTTTTGTAGAGTGATATAATTTTGATGAAATTTAAAATACGAATGATAAAATTTCAAACAATACCGGATGTTTAGGCATATACTGTGTGAATTAATCTCTCTAGAAACATCTGCTCGGCCGCTTGGATCTTGTAGTTCTATCAAGTAGAATCAATGTATAAGCAAATATGGCACATATTATACATAGGCACTATGCAGTTTTACTTGTGAATATCGCCTTTGAATAGAACCTACGTGTGAGAAAGATTAGTAAAAAATATAATTTTATATTTTACTCAGAACTTTTTGTTTTTAATTGCTCCATTTCTTTCTTAAGTAAGTGTTACGGTAATTGTTTCTTTTCTGTGTTTTTACGTTCAAAGGAAAAGACAAATAACTAAAATTAAGTTGTATAGAAGAAATTTAAGTTTTTAAAAAGTTGAGTAAGTGCTGTATCGTCACAAAGCCGACGTGCCTATATAGATACGGTTAAGACTCCTTTTCACACATAAACCTCCACTTCTCGAGTCTTAACCTTTTATTTGAAAGGTGAATTGAATTTGAAGAAGGCAAATCTGCTTGGTAAAATTGAGTTTGGCAGTTAATGAGCTTATACTATTGTTAAAATTTAATACAATTAATTTACGTAATCGAGCCTAAATGAGTAAAGGTCGTCTAATTAAACTTTGTATTTGATTATTAAAAAATAATACAGAAGAAAACAAAATAATTATTAAAGATATTAATTTTTGCTTTGTTTCCAGATAACCTGTCAATGGCAGTAAACGAATGTTGCGTATAATGTAACAAAGAAATACCTTTAGGCTTTTTCACTTCGTCATATTGTATCCATTGCCTTCACTTTTTTGTTTATCAGATTAATAGTGTT